TATCTCTGGCCCTATATCGAGTTACTGTAATTTTTCTACATTTCTTGCTATGATTTGATAATTACTCTTGACAAAGCTGTTAAATCTGCTGTGGAGTTAACCACACTGTGTGCTGTATAGCACCTGCCTATTAGTGAAACCTCTAGTGTGAAACTGGTGAGAACTCTGTATGCACTGTGGCTGTGTGTAGAATTGATAGCAAAGGTCAAACTGTTACCTGCTTTTCATGCTTTGGAATAACTGTCTGAGTCTGCTGGGCTGCTTAGGCCAAAGCATTTTACAGGAGATACATAGAATGTAACAACAAATTGTGTTTTTTTTTTTTTTTTTTTTTTTTTTTTTTTTTTTTTTGTTTTGTTTTGTTTTGTTTTTTTCCCCCTGATCTCAATGAAGGAGGGATTTAACCATTTCATTAAAATTTAGTCAGACATCACAGGCTTTTGTCTGGCAAGATCTAGGTTTTTTTTTTTAATTTGTTTGTTATGAAAAAATTGACAGACACAAGGCAGAAAATTCTCACTTGTTTTGAATTTGGTGACACTGATTTTTTAAAATAGGTTAATGAAATTATTTGTGGTGTTTTTCTTTTTTTTTTTTTTTTGAATGAGGGGGCTGAGAGTATGAACTGAGTGAAAACTGGAAATGATGGGGTTCTGTGAAGACAGTATTACAAGAAAACTGTAATTGTGTAAAACGTAGGAATAATGTATTTGGAAAGTAAATTGGGTGAGACCTTCCATTAGCATCATATTAGAATCCTATTTTTTTAAGTCTGTATAAAAATAGGTATTTAAAAGGGAAATAAAATGCAATGCCAGGAACTGATGTGGATAATGTGAACACATGATGCTATTGTCTGCAGAGTGTAGGTGATGAGATGAAGCAAAAATGGGGAAAATAAGCTAAGCCAAAGTTAAAAGTACCAGAAAGTATTTTAGCATCAAATGGACTACTTTTTGTTTGCTGGGATTTTCAAGGCAGATGAGAGCACAGGGAAGGAGAAGTGTCTGGTGTCCCCTATCCCTTGATGAACGTGTGCTTAATTTTATGAATCTTTATGTAGCTCTGTTTAAAATGCAAAATAGCAATGTAAGAAGTATAATGTTTAGTATTTAAACCATACATTCTGTACATTAAAAAGTATTTCTTTTTAAGTAAGAAAATATTGAGACAAGCAGATAAGCATCTGTTTTTTTCTAGAGCTGTTAAGCTGATTTGGATTTTAAAACTCAAAATAACCTTGTATGGAAAAATGGATGCGGTGGGTCTGTGCTCTGTCCCAGATGAATCTGAATGAATCTGGGTGAGTTTTTGTCTCGGGGAAGTTTTTAGGGGCATGTGACCTTCACAAGTTGTATTGGAGCTCCTTTGTGCTTGCTGCTGCAACATCTGCTGCTTCTGGGCTTCTGTCAAGAGGGGAGGGTTGATCTCTTTACTTGTAGATACACTGTTCTCATCTATACAGTTCTCCTATCCTCACCATAATATATGAAATTCTTATGTTCTCTTGTTTCCATTTACATTTCACACCTTGCACTATGGTGTGAGGCATAAGGCATGCTTTAGTTCTTTTAGAATGGCCATATGAAATGTATGTACTTTTCAAGATAAAAATCATGCGTATCTCACCTGCCTACTCTGTTAACTGCCACAGCTCCATATCAGCAGGTTCTATGAGAAGACTAGAGAAAGGATTTCCCACCTTTTTCTTTTTCTCCAGACTGTAGATGATGATCTGTGTGGCAATTGTTGAGGCCCTGAGGCTGGTATTGCTTCTTCATGCCTCAAATTCCTGATGTGTTGAGAGACATGGTAAATCTTCCTGAAGCTAGGAAGACTCTGTGTGTAAGCAGTAAGGAGTAGAAAATGATGTAAGGTTCCTTTCTCCACTCTTCTATAAAGCAATGGTATAGGGCTTCTACTGTGTCTGAGACTTTTCACAGTCATAAGGAAAGACTCAAGGTTTATCCTTTGTATGTACACACCTCCAAAAAGTACACTTTCACACGCTTTCCTTTTTTCAAGGTGTTTGCAAGAAAGCTGATCTCTGTAATTAATGTTGTAGAAGGTAATGAATTAATTGCAAATAAAATTAAACTGTAAGAATGCATTTAAATCAGAATTTTCAGCTTTCTGTCTGTGAGCTATCCTTATTAGCCCATGAAAGTAAGAAACACAATTATATTGTCAGTGTGCTTGCACTTTCTACGTAGAGGTCTGCATCTTGATGAGAATATTTTTAGGGAGAAAATAAACATAATAATTGAAAATGCTGTGAAGGTAATATTTTTTTGGTTTGTGGTGTTTTACTGCTTTTCTTGTATTCAGAATTTTCACAGGCCTATGAAAGTTACAATGTTAAATAAATATGATAACATTATTATTCTTACTGAAGGAGAAGTCCAGAGAAGTTAGTCTCCCTTTGCTTAGGGGTGATGATTCCCTTTTTCAGTAGGGCTCAATGGTAAGCATTGGAGTGCTAGGCAAGATAAATGTTCTCTGCTTTGAGATGAGAATGTCTCTTTATACAAGTAAAGATGACAAACCACAACTAGTAAATGAAAAAGCAAAATAAATACTGAAAAATATGTATGAAAGACATAACCAAAAGGATAAGTAGGCTATTAAGTGACTCAAAGGAAGAAACACAAGTTAATTACTTATCAGACTGTGGCAGTGGAAAGGAAACCAGTATTGATATGATGTAAGGGTATCTATATTTTTGAGGATCAACAAATGTGCACCAGCCCCTTCCTGGCCATACCTGGCCATGTATCTAGTCTGATGTACCTAAAAATGTTTGACTGTATCCAGTTTAAATTAACACTGACAGTCTATCCTGGCAACTTAGTTTTTCACCAGGCGAGATGTTTCTTTTTTTTGGCAGAGGAGTATCCTATCAGTCTAGAAGACAAGTTGCCCTTGCTCAGGATCTGTCATGAGCCAGTGGAAGGAAAGCTGGGACCTTAAGAGTTTTTCATGGCTCAAGAATTTGGATGAGGCTCTTGCCTCTACAATTGAAAATATTCATGTTATTTTATAAGTTGTGTGATCCTGAGGTAGAAATGAATTGCTAGAATGTATTTTTTCTATCTATGTTTTCCTAAATATTTAAACCCTACATTTTTTTTTCAGTGAAGTATGTATCCATGCTTTGTGTTATGCATAGCTGAATTGTTTGTACATGGCAAAAAGCAGTAATGTTTCATGACAGAATTACTGGTCTTGTTAAAATAGTTTGTATGGAACACTGCAGTGTAGTGTAGTGCCATGCCTTCCACTTCTGCATCTTATGATTAGTGACACAGGACTCTGGTGACATCTTGGGAAACAGATGAAAATTCACAAGAATAGCCAGTGTAGGATAATAGTAGCTTGAACAAGTGGAAACATCTCAGCTAATTCAGATGTGTACTGGTAATTCAAATGAAACAAAACTGCTTTAGACTATGCTGGCTGTTAAAATTAATGCAAACATAGCATACACCAAGCAATTCATACAAGTCTTCTGGGATAATGAGGGGCCAGTGGAGAATTTGTCACGCTACTTCTTTGCTGACATCATTAGTGTCCTTAATGTTTTATGCTAATATTGTTGGTGAGGTTTAATATGCTAGAACTTATTAATAAATATGACATCAAATCATCCTTCTGCCTGCCACTGCATCAATACTTTTTTTTTTTACATAGCAAATGTAGAACAGATGTTTTAAAACTACTGGGAAATAATATATTTGTAGATAATGAAGATGCCTTGAGGGCATGGTTAAAGATTACTGGATCTGTTTAGATCCGGTTTTTGTTCTTCCTCTAGTTACCTTTGAAATAAATGGTGCTAGATCCAGTTAAAGACCACCAATTTAATAAATACCACAAATTTATTGATATGGTCAGATTTGTTTAAACAAATATCAGTGGCACTACCTAACTCTGAAGTCCTATTGCGTGTTTATATTTCTGCTGTGTAAAGTTAATCAACTTCCTTGAAACTTGTTAATTCTGCAATACTATCATTATACATTTACCAGTAGAGCATTTATCCACACCTGTCTGTTGTTTGGTTAAATAAATTGAAATGATAGTTGTATCAAAGCAGTCATATGATGTCCATAGGGGGAAAAAAAAGAAAATTGTATTTTACAAGCACTCCTTTTCTAAATGAAAACCTAGATTAATGTCATGCAACCTTTTCTTGAGAAGCTTATTAACAGCAAATGTTATCAAGCTAGTACTTAACTGAACAAATAATACAAATAATACTGCTCTAATACATTGTAATTGTTTAGAAGGAAATATTCACTCAAATTGGCTTATTTTTACCGGTTATAGCTGAACTATAGTAAGAAAGGTTAACAATACAGCTATTAGAAACACTGTTTCTTCATCTTTTTCCTCTCCACAAACCTCTTAGTTAATCCAAATGAAAATTAACTCTGCTGCCTATTTCCTTGTTCTGTTGTAATTAAACTAATATTATTAGAGAACTTACAGAACTGTTAAATTACTACTTTTATGTTGTCTTTTGAAAATGCAATATCTTAGTGTGGGTAGTTTTTAATGTCAACAGTTTAGTGTTGTGTTTTTTGTTTTTTTTTTTTTTTTTTTTTTTTTCCCTTTATATTGTTACCATTATCCACATTTCACATTTAAGTCCATTAATGTATCAGCTAAGATTTTTTTTTTTGGGCCATGTTGTTTATTGCAACTTAAAACTTCTTAAACTAAGTCAAAATATCAGGATATCTTCTAGTGAGAATGAGATGGCAGCTTTTTCTTCAGAATGAAATGAATTTGAAAATGCATTTTTAACTAGTTACCCAAAATACAAAATGCATAGCAAATCTTATTTTTGAAGTAATTACTTGGAGAAGTAGGTTACTTGATTTTCTTATCTTTGCTTGATATTTGTAAACTTATTTTGCAAGATGAAAATTTACTTCATTTTATAATATTCTTTTTATTTTTCAGGTCTGTGACCTTGAAGGAACACTTGTTTTTTGCCTACTGGAAGAATGCGGTGAAACTGCCACTATTTCTAGCTGGAATTATAAATTTCATATTCAACTTTAGTGATACTAATTTCTTACTAAATAGTACCTCAAAGTAGAAGAAAAATGTACGGAAGTGCAAGAACAATCAGCAACTTAGAAGGAAGCCCCTCCAGATCTCCTCGTTTGCCAAGATCTCCTCGCCTGGGTCACAGGCGAACGAGTAGTGGAGGAGGAGGAGGAACAGGTAAGACATTATCAATGGAGAACATCCAGTCCCTTAATGCAGCCTATGCAACATCTGGACCAATGTATCTGAGTGACCATGAAGGTGTAGCTTCTACTACTTTCCCAAAGGGCACAATGACTCTTGGAAGGGCTACAAATCGAGCTGTGTATGGTGGTCGAGTCACAGCTATGGGGAGCAGTCCTAACATTGCTTCAGCTGGGCTGTCGCACACAGATGTCCTCTCTTATACTGATCAACATGGAGGTCTGACCACATCTTCACACCATCACCACCATCAGGTTCCTTCTATGTTGAGACAGGTTAGAGATAGTACCATGTTAGACCTGCAGGCTCAGCTTAAGGACCTACAGAGGGAGAATGATCTTCTTAGGAAAGAGCTAGATATTAAGGACAGCAAGCTGGGATCTTCCATGAATAGCATCAAAACTTTCTGGAGTCCTGAGCTAAAGAAAGAAAGAGTATTGAGGAAAGAAGAAGCAGCGAGAATGTCAGTTCTTAAAGAGCAAATGAGAGTTTCCCATGAAGAAAATCAGGTAAGTAATTCTGAAACTTTTTTTTTATGTTGATTTACAGCTAAGTACTTGGTGTTTTGCTTGTGGTACTGTATCCTACACTGGAACAAGTTTGACATTTAAAGCAGGAGTTGTATGTCTTGATCTATCTGCCTCTGGTTGCTAAACAGTAGGAGAATACAATAATAAGAATATGAATGCAGGTTATAATTTCCTTCATGCAGCATTTATTCACATTATAGCTAAAGACTGTCACTACTTTTTCTATTTTTGAGACTTTCTCTAGTGCTTTTTTGCAGCAACAGTCTCAATATACTTAGCAACCTTTTCTGACGAGGTAAATGAACCATCTTTGCAAAAGTATAAATAAACATCCAGAGGCATATTTTGTATGAGCTGCACAGGGATTTAATTGTCTGGTTTTTTAAAATTTAATATACACTAATAAATCCCTGTATGTGACCTTCTGTAATTATATGTTGCAGAATACTGAAAACACAACTTCAATATCAATGTTTCAGCGACCTGTGTCTTAGAAAAAGAGCATCTTGTAAATATGTATTTCAAATACTTCTTTTCACAACATAATATTATTTTCCCAAAGTTATAAAAAGATTATAGTATTTTAATCTGGATGAAGAAAGCTATAAGGTCAAGCTTTGTGATGCTATGCTATTTCACAAAGCTACACAAAACAGTGGTACAGAACAGATCAAAAAATTCTTCTATTACTGTCTCTGCAGACTTCTTGGCTGCTGTTCTTATTTTAAAGCTGCTCCTTTTTAGACCATCTGTTAACTTTCCCCAGACAAAAACACAATCCTGTGTTTCTCTCACTTCTAGACTCCCAATCTAAACGTCTCTGCTGGCAGATGACAAATGAAATTTCTTTATTTACTTCCGAGTTTGTGATCATCAGTGCTTCTCATTAAACTTTCCACCTCATATCATTTGCTTCTGTTGGCATTTAGAATCTGAATCTGGTATTTAGAAACTTTGTCACCTGCCAAAGTGGTTATGTGTTTGTTTTTTTTGTTTTTTTTTTTTTTTCCTAAAAGCTATTTCCTCATTTTGAGGGGAAAGTAAGTTAGCAACTCTTGATGTGAGTCCTCCTTTCATTCATTTTGTAGAAGATTGTATCTTTTTTATGTTTAACAAGTGCTCTTATTTTCTTGTAAGGATGAACATAACAAAAGACAGAAAATCTATTTTACTCTGTTTATATATTTAACATAAATCCTACTTTATAATAACATAAAAACTGGGTAGCCCGATATTCCATTGCTAACAACATCCAGAAGTTCATAGAATAGACCTACTACAGACTGGTATCTCCACGGAGTGCTCAGAATGATCTCCTACAGATTCTGCGCGCTTAACTTTTGGTGGACTTTGAATTTGGCCAGTTGCTTTTGCACCTTTGTAAAGTTCTAGTGCCTATAACCTCTTATGACAGTTAATACTGTGGCTTAACATGTAATGTGAAAAAACATTGTTTTTCATTTGGTTTTGCACTAGACTTTGGTTTATATTGCTAAGATTTCCTGTTCCTTGTGCTGAAAGAAACATTAAATAGTTGATTTGTGGTGCCGGTCTCAGTGGCACTAAAACCTGTGATTTTATAGGGCACCATCATCGCATCCCTCCCTCAGTTCTTTGCCAGACAAGAGAATCTTCGCACATGTGATAGGTTTCATGAAACTGTGACATTCCTTTGGTTCTTCTCAATCTTTTTTTAGAGCTATTATGTTTCTTTTTTTGAGGTGAGGGGACTAGAATGGCCAGTGTTTTTCATAAAACTGGTGTAAAATGGGTTATGCATTGATGTTCTACTGTTTGCCCTTTTATTCTGTACATCTCTCCCAGCAATTTCCACCACTCAGCTTGAGGGTTCTTTCTGGCTTTGGATGAGTCTTTTTTTTTTTTTTTTTTTTTTAACTGCTACTCTGTGCTAGGATGATACTTTAGTGGAAATACTTGTCATAAGTGAAGACTCTTACCAGTAGTTATAATCAGTTTAGATAACATCTTGTTATACATGAAGGTAGAAGTATTTTTCACTTGTGTGTAACTTCATGTTTATTTCCCTGAATTTCATCTGCCAGCCCTTTCATACTTGCTTGGTCTTAAATCATTCTTTGCATTTGGCTTTTGTCTTTACCGCCCTGAATAACTTAATATGAGGAAAATTTGTCTTCTTACTGCTCAACCTGTTCTTAGGATATATCAGAAGGCGCAAAGCCCAGGCACATGTTCCAGCAAAACTCCAGAGGCCTTCTGTTGGTTTTATGACTTGACTGTGTGTTTCAGCTATTTCTTTTCTCATAATCAAATATTTATGTATGGAAGGACCATCCCTCTTATCAAACCACTGCTTAGTTTTTTTGTAAGCCTTTCTGAAGGAATGGCTTTGGAAGTCCAAGCTGGCTCTGTCAGCTAGTTTGTCTGTCTGTCTTATCCATATGTTTTTTTTGTTTCTTGCAAAGAACTTATTTCAGCTGAAATGATCAAAAAGCTGTAATTTTGAAAAAAAAAAAAAAAAAAAAGTGGTGTGATCTATTATATCTGTACTAAAAAGTCATAGGTCTATCCTTGTTTGTCTGAAGGTTACTGGCTTATGAAACTTTCTTTCATAAAAACTGACATGCTTCTTAATGAAACACTAAAAACTGTTTCCAGATTGGCTGTGCATGAGGAAGTTGACCTTGAATGGGGCACTTGGTCTCCTAGCCAACTCCCAGGAAACT